CTCCATCAAAACCTGAAAATCTTCGACAGTGGGACATATCTCTTGGCCGCCGAAGCTAAAAACGTGCGTCACTGGGTTCTAGAACCTTGTCGCGGCATGGAGAAAAGAGAGCTGTAGCGGAGTACGGCTCAGCGTGAATAGTGCATTCAAACCGAAACCCCGGAAGTTCAGCTTTTCTGAGCCATCCAGAGAAGAGATCCAAGATGTGAGATTTTCTGCGAGAAATGCCTCCATCTTTGTGTAAAACTAAGATGAAATGAATGTTCCCGAAGTTGAGGCTTTTATAGAGGAAAAAACACTATTCACTGGGACACGTGTCAAAAACCAGGTGGATGCAGGAATAAGTGGCCGGCTGGCCACCTTTTCTGGCTGGCCGGCCATTCTCTTTTTCAAAAACTGGCCGGCCGGCTCCCACTCTCCATAAAATTGGCCGGCCGGCTCCCAAAGGTGGCCGACAATGCTCCAGTGTACCTCATTGGCCCTGTTTTACCCTTCGAGGGAAAGTTTCAAGCATTCCCGTGCAACGGGAGAGTCAAAGGCCTTCATTTCCCTCTGTTTCGGATGCGTTCCGGTGCCCAGATCGTCCGAAGTACACTCTGTTGTTGCTGAGTTTTGTTTATTGAGTTGTTGTTTTGATTATCGAGTTGTTGTTTTGCTTATCGAGTTGTTTGTCGAGCGGACGTGTTTCGTGTTTTCGAGTCATTGCTCTCTGATTAAACAATCTTTGTTTAAGTCTTGTTTATTTACGTTGTCAACACTGTTGTTTTTTTGCTTATTGAGATTGTAAACTTCCTAAGGTTCTGTTATATCTTAGTAAGTTGAGTTGCTTAGTTTGTTGAGTCGGTTCACTACCTGACTTGGTGATTACACAATGCGCATTCCCGTTCAATTTCATTTTTTTATACGAAATAAAATGATGCGATACGATGTTAAAAGTTTAAAATACAAACACCTTTTCAAAAGCTGTTTCATTCCATCATGCTTTACAACGAGTAAAGGTACAAGTTTTACAAAAAATAGAACTACCTAACAATGTGCAAAGTGCTACAAACTACTAGCAAAAAGAGAAATAAAGCAGGAAATAGCAACATAAAAGTCCTCGGGAGCGGGAATGAGAAGCACTCCTCATCCTCTTCTGCGGGACAACCTCTGCACCATCATCATCATCTGAGTCGGAGCTGTCATCCTCAGAATCCCCCTCAGCCTCGCCTCTATTCCCCGAACCAAGACCGGAGCCCCCCTCCTCAACAGATGTCTCTGACTGGCGGTCGGTAATCTCCTCCTCCTCCTCCTCCTCCTCGGGCTCCGCCTCTACAACGTGTGCCCTACGTCTGCGGGAGGACCCTCCTCGAGCTCCTCGAAAAGGCCTGGATGGCCCAGCTCCCTGAGAAGGCCCAGATGGCCCAGCTCCGTAAAAAGGCCCAGATGGCCCAGCTCCCCAAGGAGGCCCAGGTGGCCCGGCCCACGGTTGAGCATATACAGGAGGCATCTGAAAATGAAAAGTTCAATACATCAGTTCAAATATGAAAATCAGATAATAGTACAGTATGTGAGTGGGGTGTGTGTCGGATGTGCTCTATAATACAGAAGAATGCTCAAAACTAGTGTGTCATCAGAAGTGTGATAAATATAAGAAAAATGAATGGTACCTGCACACCCATAACGGATAGGTGTGTCTCTCTCCGAAGGACCATGCCCTCAAGTGCGGCCATCACCCCGAGAATCTCGTCCACATACTCAGCCGGAGGCTGCAGATACAAAGGCAAAACTATCAGTAAAGAAATGAATGTCCAAGTACCCGACTGATAAATCAAAGCTATAAATCATACCGGTGGCGAATCAGGATCCCTGACATATCTATGGTCGGGAAGTGGAGGCTCTAGCGGAATCGGGTAAGGAGTCCCAAAACGCCATCCCGTCAACTCGGACGGCATGTCCGGCCATCCAGGATGAGGATAAGTCGGAGGAGTCGAAGGAACCGATCTGCCCCTACCTCTAGATGTACCAGCCCCGCTGGTGGAAGGGGCGTCTGCAGCCCGAGCCCGAGCCCGGGCCTGGCTCGAAGATGACGTACCAGCAGACCTCGCTATCGGAGTGCGAACCCCCATCAGTGGAGGCATCAAATATGTATGACGGTAAGTGCCGTAATCCCCCTCCTCGAGATATAGTAAAGCATCGCTACCTAGCATAGCGCCGACTACCTCCGAGAAAGAGAGCCTGTCAGCAATCCGCATACTGACTGGGGGTACTGCGGGAGGATCCTGAGAAAGATACCCCCATACCTGACGCAGAAAGCGTTCCCCCAGAAACCATGCCCTGCCAACTGGTCCTTCGAGCAGGAACCTGTACTGGGAGGTGTCCGATCCTCCGGGATACTGAAATCGGAGACCATCGCCCAAGGGTGCCCAAGGCTGCCATGTAATCTGCGGATAGCAAGTGAATAAACCAATCAGAAATCAGGAACGTGCAGGGCAAATCAGAGATAAAAATGAGAAGAACTGAGGGTTCTGAAGTACCTCCGATGGGCGTACAGTGTCAAAATACTGTCGCAGATAAATGAGAGTCTCGGGGTCTCGGTCGGTGCGGGCCCTCGAACACCAGTGAATATGGGGTCATGGGGGGTCCTGCCACCTCCAACTCTGGGGCTAATGCTGGGAAGTATACATAGACCCATAGCTGAGAAAAGCAGTGCAGAATGTAAGTACAAAGTGCTGAGAGCAAAATGCAGGCTGTAAAGTGCGCTGTATGTGCAATGTATAAGTAATGAAGAGCAGAAATGTAAATCAAGGGGACAGAAAAGTACCTCCCAGGCTCTCCAGTAGCCGCCAAGTAAATCTCCCCGCCCTACTACAAACTACTAGCAAAAAGAAAAATAAAGCAGGAAACAGC